CTGAAATCACAAGATCGTATTTATAGATATATACATATTTTCAATATTTTTTCAATATTTATGTATTTTTATTATTAGTTTGTCTATGGAGCGTTCTTCAATGATGTCTCAAATATTGAGTAATATTCCATGAACGAAACACAGGCCAAGCTCGACCATAAATTTAAGACCAGGGCTGTGATACACATCACAGGTCTGTTCCTCTTTTTACTTCCCATTGGACTTTTGTATCCACACTGAGTTTTTAACTGGTTTCTACACAGTTGTAGCATTGCAGAGCGTATATTCCAGAGGTTGTACTCAGACATTTTCCTTTTAAAATGTTCATATTGAGAACCAGTTGTTCAGACTTCTATTTCAAAGGCTCAAACAAACCTGAAGTCCTCAAGTGATGTAAATGACCCTCAAATTCAAGGACTTCTTGAAAGAAATATTGACAGCAGACAAGTGAGACTGAATGGGGCCATAATAATTTGTTTCATCACACTACACAACATTTATTATTTTGCATGCTTCTTTGAACTGCAGTAGAGTCTCCTGAAGATGTGAATTCACACATGCATGAGTTAAGCAAGTAAGGAGGAATGTCAAGCTGAGTATAGCATCCACATATCATCAAAAGGACTGTTTCAGAGAAGACTGTGGCTTGAGGAAGGACATGTATTCTTGCTTACTCTTGGCAAGTGAACTGACAGATTGAGGTGGCACAATGGCAAGAACAGATTACCCTCACCTTTGCATGCTTTCAGCATCTCTACTGCTGTATGAGCTATTTTTACTGTATTTACTCTGCTTCTTTTATTAATTGTGGAACATAAATTATGTAAATTGTATCAAAGACTTTTTTCCAAACAGAAAATGTCTTCCAGGTTTAATTAAAACCAGCTAACAATGGTTTTAGTTTTCCCTGTGATATAGGCCACATTATGATTCAGTCAGAGTCACCTATCAGTGTACACTATTACATTTTTACAGTGTATTCGGACAATTAATTTACTTATGTGGTCTGACCTAAATAATTAAATTAAATCAACTATTTTTTTTCTGAAAGTGAAAAACAATCTCTTTTGTTGGGGTCCACTTTGACCCGGTTGCGAGGGTCAAAACAGCCCACCCTACTCCAGTTCAATTATGACTGGTCAAAGTGTCAAAAAGTGGAGTGTGACAGAGACAGTCGCCTCATCAACTTGCAGCTGTGCCTTCAATGACAGAAATATTTTGGAGGGAATTTTATCTTATTTGGCTTTTGTGTTTCTTGATTCGCCTCACTAAATTGTGTTGACTTTTTTGTGCTCAGGAAGGTTGGCGGCATTGTTGAATACTGTGAGCCGTCTTCATTCTGATGGCACTACAATTGTTATTTCTGTAGCTTTGAAGCCCATGCCTTAGAATAATGTCTGTGTGCATGACACACGAATGAGCACTGTAATTGAACCCTGTGTCATACTAAGGAAAACTGCTAAAGCATCAGTCTGATGTCAGAAGGTCAAAACTACAGTACCTGTGTAATTATTTGGTGTAAAAAAAACAACAACCTTTGACTCCACTGTCCCTTAATTGCTAAGAAAATCTGATTCCAGACTAATCTTTGAACACGAAAATGATTAAAACCTGAACATGTGCTGATACAGTATGTTATTAGTTTAGAGAATGCATCAAGTAGCATAAAGATACTGGATTCCTGTTGATGACCTGTACCCTAACCTTTCACAAGCAGATCTTCTGTAATAAGCTAACTGCAGTGCAACAAAGGGAAAAGGAGTTTGTGATGCTAGATGACACATACATCAGCTTCTTTTCTACACCATTTACTGTATATCAGTCCTGGTTTAAATGTAAGTATTGCTAATGCTATTAATCACCTGTTAACCACCTGTGTAAGATGTAAAAGACAGCATTCTGTATGAATGAGAAGACATCAGCAAAATTATCATAATGACACAGAGGCCCTCATTTTCTGGTAACTTGCAGCAGACACAATAACCCGTACTGTACATTTAATTCACAATGTGAAACATGCCATATTTATAATATGTTTAACCAGGTCTGTGCCAACCCCTTGTGAAAGGGTTAAAAGGAAATACTGCCAACTTACCACTGCATGCTAAATGATAAAAAGCGGCAGTGCTAATTAGTGCATTTCTATTCCCCGCAACAGAATAAAACACCAGAGATTAATTAGCTTTCTTTGTAATGTGCAAAAAGAACAGGAAACATACTTAGCTGAGAAATTGATTGATATCGAAAATAAAACCACAAACCAAAATGAGCTTCAGCTTGCATTTCCTCTTTTATTTAGTCTGTGGATTCGTTTTTCCTTTCTTCCCGAATGGGTAGAACACTTTTCATCTGTAAATGAAAAAAAAAAATTCAACGTAATTAATTTAAAGTATTAAAGCGCTTTAATATGTGTTTGTATTTTTGATGCCTGTTTAAAAAAGCTGATCCCCCATTGTTTGATTTAAGACAAAAATTCTAATATATAATAAGCCTTGTAATACACTTACGAGAGGATTTTGAAAAAAGCAATGTAAATTATTCCAGGATCCTGAGAGAAGCAGTTCGTGTTTATTAAATTTGTTCAAGTGCTTCTGAGCTATACACATATTATCCTCTTAACAGTCAAATTAGTATATACTCGAGCAATTACTTAATGTACTATAATGAGATTCCCCATGAAACAGCGGGATTAATTTATTTTAATGTGCTTTCTTCCCTTGAGTTTATGCATTAGGGCCCTAGGATTTCAGGGCCCATAGTTACTGAGTCATAACTAATATATTTTGTTTCTATTTATTTCTGTCAGTAGGTGTTTAATACGTAAAAATTGCAATCACTCCCCAAACTGAATTGTAGAAGAGCCATGAGTGGCTTTCATGACCTTGGAAAGTATTCTGTGCTGAAGTCTGTGATCTAGATGGAAGAGTCACTGGTTCAATGTGCTTTTCTCAGTTGACAGTTATTTCAGATTATTTGTATTATTTACAATAATTATAATTACTTTTTTATATTTATTTACATATTTTTACATGCCCTTAAAAACATGACCATTTGTTATTGCTCTAATAATTTGACAGACAGGGAAATCATTGCTAAGTTGTTGTAGAATAACCTTCTACAATATAATGCCTGTTAAATGTTGACAACAAGGCTAATAGAGCCTTAGCAAATTTGTTGACTCATAAATGAACAAATGAAGGTGATTATAAATGATTATATACTGTATAACTTAAAAAAGAACACAGTAAAAATAGTAATACACTTAACATTCCATTATTTTATATTCATGTTATTCATACAATATACTTAATTTTTTAATATTGGTAGTTCCCTCCCCACAAAATTACGAAGAGATCCAGAACATTGTCAAAGATATTTTGGTGCCTGATGGTGTTTGTGAGCTACTAGCACATATAATTAAAGTTTAAAAGGTGCCCAACAGCAGAAAAACAACTTGGTGTCTTGATTCAAGCACAATCGTTAGCTGGAAAGTCAGCCTTGATCACTGTGTGGTCATAGACCAATTCAAACCAATGTGAATGTTCTTACAATAATCACAGTATACAGTACCAGGCCAGGCAGGGACAATCAGTACTATGTTTGGTGGGTTTTTTTCTGTATTTTCCTGTATTTTATCTTCTGATAGCACTTTGAGGTGAGATTTGCTCCAAGGAGTATATGTGACGTTACCAGGGGTGTACATTTACATCTTTCCTAGCATTGCTATACAGTCTTAGTACAATTCTTCCTTTTTGTTTGTGCAGTGCTGTCCCACAGTTGACCTATTTGTTCTGCGGTTTAGCTTAGTACAAATGTAAAACATCTCAGCACTTTTTTCTTTTTAAAATAAGTATAGAGTTTAAGAATTCCGACATTATGACTGAAAAACCCTTTAATGTCTCTTGCTTGGGAGTGAAATGCTGTATATTTATGTTCTGTTAGCCCCATTCCTCCATGCAGTGCTTGGTTAATGTAAACAGATACTTTTCACTCATGATCACCATCATAAGTTAATAACCGAGATCCCATTTGTTCTGAAGTCAGTTAGCAAATGAAACCACTTAGAAAAGACAATGGAATCTGATTTACACAGAAACATTGTGAATGTGAAGCAGTCATTCATCAGAGCTAGCTGCACATTGGCAATGTAGTTATTAATGTAATTGTCATGTTTGATTTCAGGCTAACTGCATGAGTCCTAAAATAAGAGGGCTATATTCAATGAAGAGACAAAATGGGATAACTAATACCCTATTGTTCTTTTTTCTTCTCTTCTGAAGATGCATAATCCATGAATCTGTGAAAAGTGAAAGACACTTGTTTTCTGGGGAGAACAGTTTCTCCCCAGAAACGTTTCTTGGTAACAGTTAAAAATGACTCTCTGTAGTCCCAAAATATAAAACATTATGAAATTTTAAATGGTAATAATTAACTGACAATTGATATATCCTAGTGTTTCTCTTTAAAAAAATATTTAATACACTCACTTAAAATAAGTGTTTGAAGAAAAGTTGACTACATTTCTTACTCTACTACTGTATTGAACAGAGTATAGAAGGAGAATTAAATAGCAGCAGCCCTATCTCAGTTTGCATTCTACATGTAATATGCCCTTATAGTGATGGGGCAGAAAATGGAAATCTTTCATTTGTCCAAAAGATACCTTTAAAAGTTTTTTTTTTCATCAGAATAAAGATAAAATAAGATGAAAAGGTGGAAGAATGAGATACTGCTGTAATGGTATAGACATCTTTGGTACATCATGGTCCATTAAGATGTGGAATTTCAAAGCCACTCTTTGTATTTAGAGTGCTTGTTATGAAAAGCATGAGACTGTACATCACTTGCTATTTACTTAGCAAATCCAATGCAGGTTCTAAAGTACACATTGAAGTGTGCTGAACCAGTCTACAGGCCGTACTATACTTATGACAAACCCCTGCTGAGCATTCAAGTCTGCTTTACATATGATTCTACATTTAATGTATTTTGTTTTACAGGAGGGATATTTGAACAAACGGAGGGTTCTCCTGGCCCAGTTGTAAGCGCAGAGGAACAAGCCTTTAAATTTGCTGTTAATAATATTAACAGAAATAGGACATTGTTACCCAATACCACCTTAACATATGACATTCAAAGGATAAATATCTATGATAGTTTTGAAGCCTCAAGAAAAGGTAAGTAGCTGATTGTGTACGTGTGAAGGATGCAATACTGGGAAGTACTGTAGATGGACGGGAATGTCTCTGGATGCAGTATGGTGTAATTCCAGACATGGGTTTACACAGATTACAGCAATATATGACAAAAGGTGAAGGTGAAAAAATTCCCCAAGATGTACAGTATGAAGTACAGCAAAGAATTAAAGAACACACATTATTGTAACTATACAAGAATACAAGAAAAATCAATAAAACTAGTATCTGCAATATTTACTTATTTCATTATTTTATATTACATTTTGTCCTTTATGCTGTCTGGGGAAATGTTAGTGTTAACATTTTAAAACAATAATTCACAGATCATTGCATGGTTTACTTTATAACATAACATGTTCCTAATGGACTATGAATGTGCCTGAAAGATGGCTTACAGCAATAATAGGAACAGAGCCATAACTGTTACTTCAAGTCTTAAAAGGAAAGATAGGCTACTTGTTCATTTTCTTCTTATAAGCAAACAAGGACAGTTTATATATTTTGAATTGTGTGTTTATTGAAAGTGATGGTTTTGCTGCTAGCATAAGAATTATTTTTTCTATTCAAGATGCATGTCTGTGTTCATTGGCAACTTTCTCTGCATCTTCCTTGGTCTTTACTTGGATTAAATGCAGAATGACTGGTACAGATGAACTCCAATACGTACTAATTTGATGAAAATCTCCTTCCCATCTTAAAACATGTTTTTGCTTTGCATGTGGATACAGATGTGTCCAGAATGGGATTTTCTCTGAAATTATATTTGCCACTGCTGAAGCAAAACAGCTTTTATTAACCGGTTTATGTGAAAAGAAATGTGTTGCAGCAATGATGAAGAGAAAACATGAAAAAACATTTGTGAAACCAGTAATGTTGATGAGTAAGTGAGTAAGTATGCGGGATAACTATCAACAATATACTGTATACTGTCACGAAAACTGGAGAAACCAACACTCAGCTTTTAATGCTAACAAGTGTATTGCTCATATTTTTAACATTTGTTTTAATATTTGCATTTTAACACTACATACTGCAGCCATTGCTGCTTGTGCATATGTCTTATGCAAGGCAGCAAACAATGGCATGCAGTGTAGTGGATCTGGATTGTTTCCGCCAATGGTGCTTGCCAAGAATGTATTAATCTGCACTGATTTTTGTCTTTTTTTTAGCCTGCGATCAGCTGTCTTTAGGCGTAGTTGCAATATTTGGCCCATCACATAGTTCTTCGTCAAATGCTGTTCAGTCCATTTGTAACGCCCTGGAAGTGCCACATATACAAGTAAGATGGAAGCACCACCCAATGGACAACAGGGACACATTCTATGCCAACTTGTACCCTGACTATTCCTCCCTTAGTTATGCCATTCTGGACCTTGTACAGTTTCTGAAGTGGAAGACTGCGACCGTTGTATACGATGATAGCACAGGTAAGGGTCACTGCTGTGTTTGTACAATAATTTTAAACTGTACAATAGTTTAAAATTATTGTACAAACTTGTGAATTTGTGAACTTACAGCTTTCAATTCACATTTTCAAATGCACCACCTACTTTGCATTATAATATGACATACGCAGAAGGAATACAGATATGTTGCAGTAGTAGCTGCATAATGAAAATGACAGTATAAAGCCTTTACTGCCCTGGTACAGTGACTATCAAATCTTATTGCTGAGTTTTCAAGGTTATGAGTTATGTTCATGCTGTACAGTATATTAAGAGCTTTATGTGGTTACCATTAGTTACAAGAAAAGGCACTTTTTATACACAGCCTTAAAAACATTAATCTGCAATGTCTTGTAAAGAGATAGGATCTTTAATTAAATTAGAAATTTAATTTTTTTCTGGAGTAGAGAAGTTTGAAAAGAAAAAATGCACAATAGTATTTGAATATAGTGAAACCACATGGTGTGATTATGTTGTGCTAAGTTAGCATTAGCTCTCTGACATTTGTTCCCTTAAGGTCTTATTAGACTACAGGAACTGATAATGGCCCCCTCCAGGTACAACATCAGGTTGAAAATCCGGCAGCTGCCTCTAGATACAGATGATACTAGGCCACTGCTTAAAGAGATGAAGAGAGGAAGAGAGTTTCGGATCATCTTTGACTGTAGCCATACTATGGCGGCTCAGATTCTGAAGCAGGTGAGTTTTAATCTTCATGAGGAGTGGAATTGCAGTGATGGCACGACAGTGAAATAGTGACACGTTATCATCTTGCTACAAACCTCACAATGTGGTGATGTGTTTCTTTTTAAAATTAGAATAATAAGAACAAGAGCAACAATAATAATATGTACAGTATGTGTGTGCAGGGCCTTTGATAGATATAATTATTCATAATAATCCCCTTAGAATTCATGGCCTTTGTGTGTGAGATTCACCATGACTTCTGGACCTCGCTGTGTGCTTGCTCTCAGCACACTGAGCACTCTGGCTGCAGGGGTGGTTGTCATGGTCAAAATGCAGCAGCAATCTGCAGTGCCATCATTAACAACCAAAGAATGTGGGTAACAGCTTAGAATATGTGCTACACATCTTTGCCAAGTAATTCTCTTTGCTGTTCTTTGTGTTAATCATTTTTTGTTTTGAACTTTAAAGGGTTGTTATTTGTATAGCAGAGGAATCATTTCTTCAGCATGTCATTGTTCTGGGGTGTGGCAGAGAGACCACCTGCTCTTCCATTAATGAAATAAATAGCTGACCTGAATGTTCCCCGGAACTCTCTGATTGGCCCGTTGACTGGCATGAAAATAGTCTTTTCTCTTCTTTCTTATTGCACAGGGAATCAGTCAGTCAACCACTCAAGGGAGAAGCCTTACGCTGCATAAGGCTGAGCCTGTCTTCCAGTCTCATTCAATTTGGCCTCCACTATGTAGAACCATGAATTCCTTATATGTGCCTTAGTACTGTTCTTTATGCTTAATAGGATGCTGACTTGGATCTGGTAATGGGTGACATAAGCGATGCATAAGTACATGCGTGTCACAGTATTTTGAAAAAGATTATGGCATCCAGTCTTAGAGAAGCCCATTTTTTCAGGTGACCTGCCACTAGAGGCCAGTTCAGACCTTTACTATATGTACATATACATATGTACGTATATGTACAGATGTGTGGTGGTTAGTTAAATAATTAAATGTTCAGTGAAGGCTTTAGGTCACATTCTCTCTCAATGGTCAATTAGCAATGTTTGGTATATTAAAGGCTTTTCACACTGGTAGTGGTGGCTGGGTTGTTCTAGTAGCTGATGGTGAGATCTTGACTGTCCTGACTTTGGTTGGGGCCTGTCACAAACATGTTCCCTTGTGTTATTGAGAATTGGGTATTAGTTCACATCCTACAGAAGCAAACTGAAAGATGGAAATTAGAGAGGAGAATATGATATGTAAGACAAAGAGAATAGGAGCTGTGTAAACTGCTTTCAGCACAAGCCCATTCTGTACATTTTAACATTAAAACAATAATGAAGGACTCCACTAAGATCATGGTGTATGCAATCATTCAGAAGGCTGTGGAGACAGTATCCATCCTCTACCCTGTAATTCTTCACCAATTGACAACAGAGGTCTGTACTTTTCCATATGATTTTTTTCTGAAATTTCTTTGAATTCACTTGAAATTGTGCAAGTCTATGTAACGAGTTACAAGTACATCTTTTGATTCTGAAGGGCTGCCCTTTTCGAATGTCCAATCTCTCAGATTCAGAGCTGTTTTTATGACTGAGATGGTTTAAAACTATTTACTTTTAAGTCAACTTTTTTTTAGTTACAAATAGCGGATAATTACACAAAGCCCAGGCAAAATCCTAAAAAAGAGAAAAGCCCAGGATCAAATTCATAAATGCACATGTAGCTGTCAAAGGATTAAGCAAAACAAAATGTTATTAATATTTTCCATTGGAAAGTCTTATGAGGGAGGGAAGCTGCATTGAAGCTAAATTAACTTAAGATTTAAAAAGACTAATTATTGCCTTGCTCAGATCTCACCCAGGGTCAAAGACAGGTTAATGTAAATGTATGGAAAAAAGTAACTGTGCAGGCAATGGAATGCAGAACCACTCAGAATAATTGTAAACATAAATTCACTATATTGGACTACTTACTGTTGCAAGAGAGGGTGAGTCAAATTCAAATAAAAGCTTGCACTTATTACACAGCTTACTTAGTGATGACTTGATTGTTATTGACATGAAAGTTTTAGCCCAATTTCTAAATTACCACTGGGCTTTAAGTGTTAGTGTGGAGGAGGGGTAAAGTCAAATGTTTTTTTTTAATACAGTACATGCCCTCTTTAATAACCTAAATAAACAGTGGATACTGACTCCTCTGGAACGTTAAAATTGGGAAACTACTGTTGGACACACCACCTACAGTATTTACATAAACTTGCATATTCTTTGCAACAGATGGTACAATAAAAATGAAATATCGCTACCATGGGAGCAAAACTATTTGAATGTAGATTGAATAAAACAATAGAGGTTAGAAGATTACTCCAGGCATGGAATAAGAAGACTATATTACAGAGCGATGAAAGTCATCACATGGAAAAAAAGTACACAATTGCACAAGCTTTTACAGTCTGTTGTATAGTGATTTTTTAAAATATGTATTTTGTTTGTGGTACTAATGAGACAAAACCAGTGATTTGTGTTTTGGAGAAAAAAAAATCACAAAAAAGCACCAAAGTCTTTTCTGCTTTCTTATTGATATCTAGTCCTGGAAGTGACCATTTCATTTTTTATCTTTTCCTTCTTTTAGGCACTGGCAATGGGTATGATGACAGAATACTACCACTACATCTTTACAACTCTGGTAATGTATTAATGAAGCTGTTCACTTCTTTACGTAAAACGAGATGCAATTTGCTCTTGTCTTGCATTGATGAATGGACTTTGATTGTAAATAGTTCTGGATCCCATCCATTATATCAATTTCTTATACAAGCCTAATACAATTTCTGATATCTTTGTGTTAATACTTCCATTCTCATTGAACTTAATGAGGTCTTTGATGGCGGTATACAGTGGAGCCTGAAATCTTCCCAGTCATTTTAATCAGCTGCCTCATCCAAACAATTTTTTGAAACTTAAAATCTCACCATTCAGTGATGTATAACTATGAACATGCAAATGCATACACCCAAGAGTCCTTAGATTAAATTACATGTTGATTTCACAATTACGGTTCCAGTTCCAAAGTCAACGTCCACATTGTCATGAGGTATAATAAGGAATCACATGCTGTAATCATTTTTGTTTATTCCAGAAGCATGGAGCACCTGGTTGAACACATTTTGTAAAGCAATTGGGAACAGATTTTAAAACAATTTGTTTCCTCAAATTAATGTGTGCTAATAAAATACTGATAGATGAAGCTTTGGCAATCTGGTGATAATAGCAACATTTAAATACGTAGCCAATAGTGGCAGTTGACATTTCATTTTCTTCTCAAACCTCAACTGGAGAATTCTGCTTTCCATGTCAGTGTCATACCAGTGTTCTAAATCCATTTTTAATGCAGCTACCATTATTTAAAATGTCAATTTGGATATGAGAATTGCATTACAAATTCTCATCACCTCAAAATGTCAGACTTAGTGCCATTCATTATTTTTCCTTTTGACATTAGATCACATACGAACAATATAAACTTAAAAAAAAAGTGCCGGACAGAGAGCTGTTTTAATATGATTCGTTTTGAATGCTCAGTTCTCAGCCTAGCCCGATAGTTTCATACACAGTACTTTAGAGTGAATGTAGCTCTCTCCTTCTTGCAGTGCTAGGCCTCCATATATAGGATTCTCAGGCAGCCGGCAGTAATTTAATCTAGCTTTAAGTGTCATATATAAAGCTTCAGGCTAGGGCAGCACCTCAGGGCAGGTTTGCTGCTGCATCCTCCCCTCCCCCGAAGTTGTTCTGCTTTTTATTTTGTTAGGCTTCTACTTGCATCCTCCGTATCACATAAATTTATATCATATATTCCTGTCAGCCCGTAGGAGAACAGCAGGAAACACTGGAGCCAAAGAGATTGCATTGAGGCAAAAGGACATCAAGGATAACTAATAACATCTCACACTTGTACTGGAGTAGAAATGCATTATCCTGCAAGTTAACTGCATTACATACTACTGTTGAAGTAAACCTAGAAATCTGTATACACATCTCATGTAATCCCCTTTTATCAGTGCAGCAGATAATGCTTGTATTTATTTGCTTTTTCATTATAGACCCTAAGCATTTATTAAAGTAATCATGTTGAGCAAATTAAAAGGTTTTTAGAGTTGACAACGCTGAGTGCTATGTAAAATGAAAAGTATGTTGTTTTCTATGTGTGAAACCTACCCCAAATGTTGGTTTAATTTGTAAAAACGAAAGATGTCAAAATCATGTTGAAAAATAGTACTACCAGAAATGGACAGAGACATACTGTACACCGTAGAACAGTGCTTTACAGTGCATACAGTGAGACAAACAGTCTAACATGAGCAAGGGTCTTTACCATAGTTTCATCAAAGATTGTTCATTAGCAAAAATAAGATACACCACTATAATGACCTTTAAAAGTTTCCCCTTTGAGTCTTCACCATCAGGTTTTTGTTCTGCATTCCTTTACACGAAATGGCTCTTGTAGAAGTGTTCATCCTTATATTGCTTCTGTGTTAATGGTATTATTTTATCATCTACAAAGAAATTGACCAAGTTATCAGAGCATGAAAAAGTCAACAGCAAAGAGTTGGAGGGTAATTGCTGCCTTGTCTTTTGAAATTACACTGTCATTGCTTTCCCTCTGCACCTACAGGGTTATCTTTCAGAACTTGTAGAACAAATACCAAAGTGACATGCACTTGTTATACTCTTACAAAGGGCATTTGGCATGTTGTATTTTTGCACTAGGTTTCTGCATAAAGCTGAATCATTGCTGAAAACAGCAAACTTTCATCTCCTTGCCTTACAGTGCATTGACATGTTTGAGAATGTTACAGTGTGTATGCTACTGCTTCATTTCTTATGGTACTGCATGTTTCAGAGTATGTTGCAGAGCTGCGCCAGTCATGTTGCACAACACGGATTTCAAAAATTCAAATCCTGTTCCTCATCTCTTCTCCTTTACCGTCCTTGGAGAAGTTTACATAGTCATGAAGCTTATAGGTGAACTTACATTTAAAAGGAACCATTCTACATGTTTCTCCTCACGCAACTGTTAGTTGTATTAGCATTTATGCTCTTTTTGAGGAAAGAAAACAGGTTTGCCTTTACTCCACAAGGACAAAACAGCATTTCTTCCCATCTGAGAACATTAGGAAACCATAGGGGGAAAATCTCATTAATTCCAAACCACAGGCATTTTAAACTTTATTTTCCTATTACAGAGAAGGAAAAAAACAGTTTTAATTTCATTTTTAAGTACCAATTTGTTCTTAAGCATTCCTCTTTTTGACAATCGTGCAATTAACCTGGAGGTGATCAGACTTTCTATTACAACTCTTTGCAGGGATTTTTTTGTTCTCCAGCGATTTCATTAAGAAAGCAACTAGGTAGTAAAACCTTATGTGCTGGTGGGTGAAAGGTTCAATTTGTTGTTTCTGCAGGCAAACCTTCTCCATCGTGTGTCTTGTGCTCTTATGCTTCTGCAGCATCAGACCCATGGGGTGCTAATGAATTAGTCTATTATGTTATACTGAATGTTTTTAAAAGGTCCCCAGTCTATTCTGAATGCAGTGTGTGTCAACATTTGGCTAAGAGCACTTCCACGTTTTGCCAAATTGCAAATTGCTGTTAAAAGCAGCCATGTATTCATTCATTTTTTAAAATACTAATGCATTCGTTGTTATTATTATCATCCACTGAATCAGAAATTACATACGACAAAGGATTTTCACGTTTGGATGCTGTGGATAAGGGGACGTTCAGCATAACTCTTTTTAACTGCATAGTGAATGTATGTGAAAGAATATTTGCTCATGTCAGATGTCAAGAAGAGCACTTTCTGCATTTGAAACTACATTCTATTGTTTCAATTCCATACTTCCAAACCTCAAATTCTATTTGAGTTAGACCTCAAATAGAAAATGTTGCTCTGTTTTCATAGCCTATAAATACAAGGCCTGAGATGCCTTATCCCCTATGCTCTTGAGCTTGTAGCTGAGCATTATCCCCTTGGATTTCTTCAGAAGTACAAAAAGACTTGAGGCTTTTCTTGCAGCAACAATGAAATGCAATTCCTGTGTTAAATTAGAGCTTTTCTTTCCAAAGGACCTTTTTGCACTTGATTTAGAGCCGTATCGGTACTGTGGGGTTAATATGACTGGCTTCCGGATTTTGAATACTGACAACCCCCAGGTGGCCTCCATTGTAGAAAAATGGTCAATGGAACGACTTCAAGCTGCCCCAAAGCCAGAATCAGGACTCCTGGATGGAATTATGACGGTATGGCAGTTGTTTCTTTTTGTTATAAATTTATTTTTTTACAATACATTGTGTGAAATTCAGGGATTCTGATAAGCATGTACCTTGTAATGCATACGGGACACAATGACATATCCACTTAGAACTTCAAAGGCTCTTTGTCTGCCAGTTAATATTGCTGGGAGTCAATCATATTTATTTAATTTCTTTTATTACCATCAAGCGCATTTGAATATGCGACCGTTGTTTTCCGGGTTTGTGGAGTGCTGAATGGCTTAAATGATTTTTTCATAGGCTGAGTCTGTGATGGAAAAAAAGGCTTCTCTTCTGTGTGGATGAAACTGATGTGTCCCAATCACAGATATTCAGTACACAATTTACAGTATCGTTTGTCTTTTTTAGTGGGCACAGTTTCATTAGCAGTCAGTAGTTATGACTGAGCCTTTTCTGATGGAAAACCTAGGACAAGCCTGCTTGCAGGGAAGTAAAGAAAGGCAAGGAAGAAGGGAAATGGACTTTATTAGGGTGATGTAGATAGTTTCTATTTTTATCCAGTATTGCTGCATGGTAGTATTCCTTAATATAGTTCCACTACCTCCCCTCTGTAGTGATGTTTTGCTAATGGAATTAATGATGATCATACAGTACATTACTACCAGCAGATGGGGACTCGGGACTCGGTATGTTTTGAGTTTGAAGTAATAACAAAAGGGATGAGGCTTGTTATTCTTCTAGAGCTCACAAAAACCCTGCTTGAAGAATAAAAATAATATACAAGGTCATTTTTCTCCTCTCCCTTCAGTTCAGGCCTGCTATAGCAATTTCATAAGCCTGTGGTTTCCCAGCATGCAGAATTAGTCTTTGCTTTAATCCTGCTACAAAACTGACTGGATAAGAAATGGGATCTATCCAGGTTATTCCAAAGTATGATGTGAAGTATTTACATTTTCCCCTCAACACAATGACAGAGGTGTATAAAAAGGTTAATAAAGTTTTTTTTTT